GGTGTGGATGTGGGTGTGACTGGGTGTGGGTGTGGATGTGGGTGTGGCTGGGTGTGGGTTAGAGCCCATCGGGTCCGGGTCTGAAAATTATGTGTTGACCGGGTCCGAGTCCGGGTCCAAAAATTCTTGGACCCGATGGGCTCTACTCTGGACCCACTGTTAGAGTTAAAACTATTTTTCAAAAAGTTGATCAGTTATAACTCAAAAGTTATAACTTGAGTTATAACTACCCTAATTTTAACTCCAACAGTGCTGGACCCACAAAAAAATTAGTCAGTCAGATTCGGGTTCGAAAGTTTTGATCGATCCGGTCCGGGTCCGGGACCGAGTCCGGGTCTAGAAAAATTTTATCGACCGGGTCCGGGTCCAAAACTTCTTGGACCGGATGGGCTCTAGTGTGGGCGTTGATTATACTTTGACCACTACGCACCCACACCCATACTCGCACCAACACCCACACCCATACCCACACCAACACCCACACCAACACCCACACCCACACCCAATACAGAAAATTTTATCAAAGGTACAAAATGATAGAAGAAAAACTAGTTTCCCTCATTCTATGAAAGTTCCGTTTGCACGATATTACGTAACAGCATTTCTACACAGCCTTTCCCAGCATGCACTTTGTCTTGTAATGTTTCGTCAAGAGATACGAAAATTCTTGAAACGAAGGATTAGTGACAAAAAATTTATCACAGATAAGAAAGAAAACGAAGAAAAACCCAACTAGACTCGCTTCACTTGCAGGTATATAAACGTGAAGGAAAAGTGCGAAATATCAGTAGAGTTTCAACATTAAAAAAAAGTTTTATAGGAAACTATTCAGGAATTCAACGGCTCCAATTACACTTTCAGAATGGATAAGATGGGAATAATAATTCTTGGCAATAGTGGGGTTGGAAAGAGCTTTCTTGGAAATATTATATTAGGACAAGAGAGATTCATACACGACTTTGACTGTAAAGCCGTAACAACCAAAACGGAATATGCAGAAGCAAATCTCAACGGTCGTCTTTGCGCTGTTTACAATATTCCCGGTCTTATTGAAGCTGATCAGGAACGAATTGATTTAAATAAACGTGAAATCGCACGAGCGTTTCAACAACATCCGTACTCGGTTGTAATGTTTGTCTTTGGACATTCAGGTGGGCGTCCCAAACATGAAGATATTGTTGCATTTAATGCTATCAACAAAGCATATCCATTCAGTCAAAAATCATTACTCGTTGTTGTTAATAATCTACCACTAACACGCAGAACCGGTTATGACAACAACATGAAAGAGCAATTAATTGATCATCTTAAGATGCATCTGCCACATTTTGAATGTGTTAGTGAAACCGAAACTGCTGAAAAAATACAAGTTGTCAGAAAACAATTGATTCAAAGTATTACCGGTGCACTGCCAAAAATTCACGAGAAAAAGCACGACATTGATCTACAAGCAGATCAAATTTCTGCGCTAATGAAACAAGTGTCAGAATTTCAAAAACAAATTGAACAAAATCGTGCTGCACATGAAGCACAAGTAAAACAATTACAGAGGGAATTTGAAGAAAAAGAAAAACAACGACTTGCTGAACAAAAGCAAAAGGAATTGGAAATGCAACTTGAGCAAGAAACAAATCGTGCGGCATACGAAGCAGAAATGAGACGACAGCAGACGAAAAATGAAGAAAGTCAAAGAAAACTATATGATGAATTTGAAAAGAGGGAAAAACGATGGCATGATGAGCAAGAGAATAAAGATAAGGCACACCGAAAGCAACTAGACGAACTAACGGAAAAACAGGCAGACATGGAAGAAAAATTAAAGGAACCACCACGTATGTACTCAAGAAAATAGGTGAAATGTGTATGGCTGTAAAAAAAGCGCTCATGAGTTGGAGCTTCAGCGTGTCTAAGTTCTCCATGCACAGTGAGCATTCTCTCATAGAGCAGGCGTAAATTGGATGGAAATATAGTTTCTTCGATATAAATCAAAGCTTTTCTAGGTTTTCTGACATGCTCTTTCTTGTGAGATCGAAAACTTCTAGAAAATCTGTCTTTTAAGTGGCTTTCGAGAGATCTAGACATCAGAAAATCTCTCCTATACCGAATTCAAAATTTCTTAAAGACTCCATTCGATTCATCGTAGTTAAAAACAGATAGAAAATTCGTTTTCAGAAGTGCCAACTGCTATTAAGGATCCGAGAACGTCTCAACTCGTCACGTGACGAGTTGAACAAACAGCAAAAATCAGACCTTTCGTAAGACCAAAAATAGGGATATCCAAAAATACAGGGATGTCGTAACGAAATTTACAGGACGATCGTAACGATTAATACAGGGAGTTCGTAACAGTTGCAGAGCTTTCGAAACGAAGCAACAGGGATTTCGTAATGAGGATGATGGTGATAGCTGAACTGAGTTTGCAAAAATTACATGCTTTTCGTTACAAAAGCTCTGTAATGGTACATATTAAAACACCAATTACGATCACCCTGTAAACTTTGTTACGAAACCCCTGATTTTTTGTTACGAAAGCCCTGATTTTGTCGTTACGAAAGCTCTGTCACGGGCTTTCGTACTGTCAATTCGTTACGAAAACCAGACAAGAAAAAACTTGACGAGTTGACACATTCCCAAGGATCCACCTAAAACATAAAGTTAAAGTTCCAAGCAAAAAATTCCGAAAAGTCTTGTTTCTACAAAAAATTAACAAAAAGGTGTTGCAGATTCTCCAAAACACATGTTCGATGCATTTTTCCACGCTGCTTCTGAATTTCTATGTATCATTCAAAAAAAAAGTGATTTTAAGATGAAAAAACGACTGTTTTATTTCAAAAACCAAAGGATCTTCAAAAAGCTCTCCTGATCTTCAGTTAGAGTTATGCATCTTTACGCTAACACCGTAGATAGAAATGCCCATAGTGTCCATTTTGACAAAGAATGAAGGATTTACAAGCTCGGGAAACTTTGGGACACTCTTTGTATTGAATGCATACTTTGAGAAAAGAACTTTTTTGAAGAACCTGAAGATATTTGTTCCACATGAATGACTTTTAGAAATTTTTTCATGGTGCTAGATCGTCCTAGTTTTGCTGATTCTGAATATGTCCTTAGATTTGATCTAGTTCCAAATATTCGAGGAGAAAATTCATTACTTTTACATAGTTAGTAAATTAGACAGAGGATTTTCCTATTTAACTTTTTACCATAGGTGAACAACCCCGAACAAAAATTATGTTGCTATCAGATAGACCATCAATTAAAGTATATAGTACGGGCAGTAAATCAAGAAAAGCTGAATTTCATGTTTTCGACCAAATTTCCGCCTGAATTCTCACTGTGCCATGCATCTGAAAAAAAGGAAATAGCACCTTCTCGTCCTATTAGGTAACCTGTTGTTCAGAACTTAACCAATGCACTATAGGTCGACTAAACTTTCTTTAACGTAACTTTTCAATATTCAATTCGTCGCGAAAGTTAAGCAAAGTGAAAGTTGAAAATATCCAAAATGTGAAAGTCAGAAACTGAAGTGTAAAAAAATCTCGTAATGAATCGCATGACATTGGTACTGGAACTTGTTACAATTTAGTCCGTACATGCTTAGTGTAGCGATGTACGCACGTAATATCGATAAACGCACTTTGATGATCTCAGAGCACCTGCAAGACCCTTATAGCCTAATCTCATGAGAATTAAAGGAGAAGAACTGCGTTACACAGTCAAACTGAAGTCTGAGACTTTACCTATTATATTTCAACTGTTTGTTCTTTGTTTTTATTATAGAAAAATCTACCGTGGGTCAACGTCTTATCAGAAGTGCAAAAGCTGCAATAACCGGTGCTTCAATGGGAGGAGCCGCAGGAGCAGGTGTAGGAGCTGGAGCTGGCACAGTGGTACTTCCAGTTGTCGGTACAATGGCTGGTACAGCAGCTGGTGGCCTGATTGGTAGTATCGGAGGCGCTCGAAAGTTGTTCGTTAATAATGTCAGATATAGACCGAGAAAGTCTTGAAGGTTGTAGATAGTTTTAAAAAAAAGTATGTCAATAGGGGGAGAAAAGTAAAAAGACAACGTCATTTTTGAAAAGTGCAATTACTGCAGGTTTTACTTCTTTAGTGCATGGTGATTAGCCCTTGTGCCATAGTGTGCAAAATCCAAGTTGATGCGCAAGAGCACGCCAGCGTCAGACTGAACATTGATTGCAGTTTTTTTTAAACTTTTCTTTCGAACCTGTATGACTCATTAGTAAAATAAACCAAGATAACAGATTGAGACAAATATCGTCGAAATTTTTTTTACAAGGATGTGAGTGGGGGTGTGGTTGTGGGGTGTGTATAGCTATAACAATACAATAGGTATTTCGATGTTGCTGAAATTAAAATCTGATCAAGTGGCAAAAGTACTAGTTTAAAAGATCCAAAACAAAAGTTTTGGGTGTGGGTGTGTGGGTGTGGGTGTGTGGGTGTGGGTGTGTTGGTGTGGGTGTGTGGGTGTGGGTGTGTGGGTGTGGGTGGGTGTGGGTGGGTGTGGGTGGGTGTGGATGTCGGTGTGTGGAGTGTGGGTGTGTCTCTTCCAAGGGGGAAAAAACTCATTCGCGGGCATTCGAATGGAGGAGAATGAATGAGAATGGGCGGGAATGGAGGAGAATGGATCGGAATAATCAGAGAAATTCAGAAGTAATTTCATGTAGTACAAAATTAGCTATATTAACTATTGAAATGTTAAGAGCGGTCCGACAAAACCCAACCCTTCACTTCCTCGCAGTGTCGGATGGTAACGTCGTTTCACGACGGCTAAGTTGGGCTCTGGTAAGCATCTCAGGGCTAGTCACCCGAGATGACCTTCACAATGACTCCGAAAACAATAATCGAAGAACCCATTCCGGGCAACAGTCTTTCATCTCGTCGTATGCATGCGAGGATTTCACAAAAATCCGAGCCTATGATAAGGCAGGCACCTGTCTTTGAGAAAGCATCGACGACTCGAAAAAACACAAATAAAAACAAAAATAAAAATAAAAATAAAAATAAAAACAAAAACACAAAAAATACAAAAACTCATCACAATTCCATCACAATATCCACCTACAACGTGCGTACTCTCAAACAAACTGGAAAACTTCACCAACTTATATACGGATGCAGCAAAAACAACATCGATTTGGTAGCAATTCAAGAACATCGTTGGCAAACAACAGAACAAATCAATACGTGCTATACAATACTCAATGATCAAATCTGGCGATTTGAATATTCTTCAGCAACCTCAGATGGACATGGTGGCATAGGATTACTCATAAATCCCAGAATGTCAGCATTTTTCAACTCATCAGAAAAAGTATCAAATCGCATTATGATGGTGCACTTTAATAGGAATCCAGCAACAACAATCATCATTGCATATGCGCCTACGGAAGACAAAAGTGATATCGAAAAAGACACCTTCTACAATGATCTGCAACAATGTACGCTCGACGTCCCTCCACACAACGTCCTGATTCTTGCTGGTGATCTCAACGCAAGAATAGGAACCGACAGTCATACAACAAATCCACAAACAATTGGTAGATACACATACCATCAATTAACCGACGACAACGGCAACCGACTTATCAACTACTGTGAAACTTGCAACATGCGATCAACACAAACACGGTTTCCACACCCAAAGTCAAGATCATGGACCTGGCTACATCCAAATGGTAAATCCAAAGCTCAAATTGATCACATACTCATAAACGGGAAATGGCTAAACTCAATTCGAAACGTACGTGCGTATAACACAGTTGAATTGAACTCCGATCATCGCATTGTCAGCGCTAAATTATCAATCAGCCTTCGAGCGCCGAAACAAAACAAAAACAAAAACAAAAGGATCAAATTTGACTGGAACAAACTCAAAACCAACTCCATACTACAAGCCCAATTCAACATTGAAGTACAAAATCGATACGAAATCCTACAGAACATCAACACAGACTACGACATACAAACAAAATATGACAATTTCGTAACTAGTATACAAGACACAACAGAAAAACTCATTGGAAAAACAACTCGGAAAAAACAGAAAAACTGGGTTTCAACTACTACTATCGATCTTCTGGAAAAACGAAACAGCGCCAAATCCAAATTCAAACAACAACCAAACATAGAAAATAAAAATCATTGGCACATACTCAACAAACAACTCGACGAATCGTACAACAACGACAAAATCAACTTCTTAGAAGATAAACTAGAACAGCTCAAACAAGCAATGGTATCAAATCATCTAAGAACAACATGGACCCTGATCGACGAAATCAGTGGAAAACGCACAAGCTACAGCACATCAAAAATCAAACGAAAAGATAGTACAAAAATTAACTCAACCAATGAACTTATGCATGAGTGGAAAACATATTTCGAAGAATTACTTAACGTTAAAACAAACATCAATCTAAACACTCAAGCAATACCACCAGCTCCTGAAGACCTACCAATCAACCAAGGTCCAATAACAATCAACGAAGTGGAACAAGCAATCAAACAATTAAAAGACGGAAAATCTCCTGGAATTGACTATTCAATAACACCTGAAGTACTGAAATATGGTGGTAGATGGATTATGAATCAACTTTGTAACATATGCAATGAAATCTACAACAATCAACAAACACCAAGACAATTCAACACCAACATCATAATACCAATACCAAAAAAGGCGACAAAACGCTTATGACGAACTACAGAGGCATTAGTCTTATGTCAGTAGCAGCTAAAACCTATAACCGAATCCTGTTAAACAGAATAAGAGAACCACTTGACTCGATTCTAAGGGTAAACCAGGCAGGTTTCAGGAAAGGACGAAGTTGCAATGATCAGATTCATGTCATACGTAGAATTCTAGAAAGCGCAATCGATAAACAACTTCCAATCTACATAACCTTCGTAGACTTTAAAAAAGCCTTCGACTCAATCAATAGAAAAACAATGTTCAACATCTTAAGGCATTATGGGGTGCCTACTAAAATAGTATGTGCAATCGAAAACATATATCATAATACCAAAAGTGTAGTTCTCGTAGACGGCAACGTCTCTGAAGAATTCGACGTAACGACTGGTGTTCTTCAAGGAGACACCTTAGCACCATTCCTTTTCATAATAGTGATCGACTACGTAATGAAAAATGCTCAATTAGATCACACAAACGACAAGGGAGAACATGGCTTCGTAACAAACAAGAGACAATCCAGTCGACAATCACCAACATGTATACATGACCTTGACTTCGCCGACGACATAGCTCTCCTGGAAAATAGTTTTGATAGAGCACAATCACAGCTCGTTCAAACAGCGAAGAGGGCTAGCGAAGTGGGTCTACAAATCAACATCAAGAAAACTCAAGCATTAACCAACCAAAACACAAACAACCAAACAATGCAACTTGATGGACAGAACATTGAATGGGTTGACAACTTCAAATACCTCGGTTCAATGATGTTATCTACCACCACAGACATCAAAGTACGAAAAAGCCAAGCGTGGAAAGCCTTTTGGAAATTGAAAAACATATGGAAATCAACAACAACACCAATCAAACTCAAAATTAATATATTCAAAACTTCATGCCTTTCAATACTATTATATGGATGTGAAAGTTGGATAATTACAAACAAGCTCGAGAATACCTTAAACAGTTTCGCTACTAGCTGTTATAGGGTAATGCTCGGCATCAAACGAACCGACAAGATTAAAAACAACACCATATACGAAACAATCAAAGAAGAACCTTTAAGGCCCACCCCCCACCCAAAAAAAGTTGATTTCTGTCAAATTTATCGATTTTTTTTTTAATAGCGCATGTGATAGAGCATCACGCCCGCTATCGAATGCACTATAGTTTATTTTGTTTACGACGGTTTTTCATGGTTTTACAGAGGTTTTTCTTAAAACCTTTACCCATGAAAAAAGACGTCTTTCGAATAATTCAATTTTTTTTGCGCATTTCAACTTGTAACGGTAAAATATATTTCTTTCTATTGTACAGAATGTTGTCTTGACTTTGATTCTATCACGTAGCGAGATATATATTTGTTTTTCTTTTACGTTTGTTCTCTATACTTTCATCGTGTTTGCTTTGATCCAAAAACAGAATTCGAAGTATACGAAAGAAAAAAGTAATACGAATCTTTTAAACAAATGAGCAGCAAAGATATTCGTCAGAAAAAGAAAAGCAGAAGGTCTATTATGAGGCAAATCCGATCACAGCAAGTGAAAAGCAAGAGAATGGATTCATCATAATCGTCATCATCATCATCATCGTCATCCCCATCGGTAAATATAGATGAGGCGGATGACTTATTGGATATCAATTTAATTATTCACATGAAATCTTTGATTTCATTGATGAAACAAACTTTATGTTCCGAATGTATATGAAGCAGGTGGTGATGATTGATTACAGAAAAATAATCAACATTATCTCAGATTTTAAAAATACTACTTATTTTATTATCATATCATTCATTATCACATGTTATTTCCTAAAATCTGGTTTTTAAGATCATTTCGATGAACTTTCTAATAAATTTTTGTCGTAATATCTTCACCTATAATGAGCTCAAAGTGTCTTTTATTATTTAAGATGATCGAAAAACACTATAACTGGATGAAAAGTCATGAAATACACTTCTAAAAAGTATTTTGCGTTTTTCTCGAAATGAGATTTTTTGATTTTACGTTTTCGTGCGTCCCAGATTTCTCCGCCATTTTGAAAGCTAGAAAGTTCGGGTTTGTTTTAAAATGTAGTCAACACTTGGGGCTATAACTTAACATAGCCCGATTTTTCGATTTCATGATAGATGTCAGATGAGGGGCAAATGTTTGAGAATCTACACCCTACTGATTTCATATCATGACGTAGAAGTTCTCTAAAAACTAAGCTAAAGAAAAATTAAAAAAATCGGACTCTGTTAAGTTGTAGTCCCAGATATTGGCTACATTTTAAAACAAACCCGAGCTTTCTAGCTTTCAAAATGGCGGAGAAATCTGGGACGCACGAAGACCTATGTTTTGGACCTTAATGTTACGCTATCTCCTGGAATCCTTAAGATTTCAGGCTGAAATTTTTATCACAAGGTGCCCAGCCCAAGATACATCTACTCTGAAAATTTCGTTAAGATTCGATGTTCTATGACAAAAATAAAATTTTGGGTGGGGGGTGGGCCTTAACACAAACAATACAACGACGACAACTACGCTTCATTGGACACTG